ATAAATATAAAAAACGGTCTCATAAATAAACGAGACTCTAACACTGCCCCCCCTCCCGCCAAACACACACACACACCCGCTTGCGTGTCTCAAGAATGTAGTCTTTGAAATAGGAAGCAAAGAAAAAGCACATGTCTTATATTCATTTCGCTCCTCTTGTATTCGTTGTAGCAATTGCATCATAAGTCGCTGAGCAGTGATGATGATGATGATGTACCTTCAGTTTGCTGGCGCTCGCCCACAAAGGGGGATCGGCCAAGAACCGGGCGGCAGGATCATCAAGTGTGTTCAGTCAGGCATTCAGGTAGTCTCGTAGCTGTATATAATAACAATAGGCTAACAGGGTAATCTCTTTGTTGCCCTTATTTACTCGCACACAGCAGAGAAAACCTCCCTGTGGCTATAACCAAATGTAATCCCTCCGAAGGATAAAATTAGTTCCACGTTTATTTTTAAACCTAGCTTCTCAATTGGTTCGACCAGGAATCTTTTTTTTTTTTTTTGATAAGCGTAACGTTTACAGTATAAAAAGAAATGATCTATTGATTCCGATTCCTTGCAAAAGAGACACAACGGAGATGCTGTTAGTCCAGCTTTATGTAGGTAGTAATTCAGATGCTGGTGATTGTAGTTTCTAACTGCCGAGATACACACCACTGTTTGTTCCAGCAATATCTTAGATGTACAAAGTCTCTGACTTTATCCAATGATATTTTTTTTTCTATTTCTTTGTGCAAACAAGCCTTTCTATATCATAGTGCTGTTACGTAGGCGAAATCAGGTAAAATAGGTAAGATTGGTCCGCTTAAAGATGCTTTGGCTAACGAGTCTGCCATCTCATTTGGATAAATTCCGCAGTGGCCGGGTATCCATAGCAAGTGAAATTTTTTCAAATTTTTTGGTAATAAACTGCTAATCATACTCATTATAGTCAAATTTTTTGCTGTTGATAGTGCAGTGCATACTGAGAGAGAATCAGTAAGTATGACCGCTTCTGATTCGCTTGCAGGAAGTTTACGAAGCGCTAGAATTATAGCAAGTAATTCAGCGATAAATATAGGCGTGTAATCTGGTAATCGAATTGAGAAAGACCAGTCGAGAGAAGTACAGAAGATGCCTATTCCAGCCTTTTCGTTCAATACGGATGCATCCGTCGCAATAATGTTGTTTATGGACAGATGAGTCAAGTAATCTTTTAACCGAATATTTAAATATTGAAGGGGCAGTTGTTTTGCATTAGAGGGGAAAATATCATCAAATTTAATTTTAAGTTTTGAATTAGGTGTCTTCGTTATGCAAATCTGATAAATATTTACATTGAGAGGCTCTAGCAACGCTTGGACGAACCTAATCTGAGGGGAGTGTAGTCTAGACCATTGTGTTCCAAAGAATGCGGTTGGTTCTTGAATAAAAACGTATGAAGCTTGTCGCAGAGGCGAATTGTATATTTTTAAGAAAGTTTGGACTGTAAGTATTCTAAACCGAGTTAACAAAGGTGGAAGGTGCGCTTCCACATACAAAACATTATTTGCCACAAATTTTGGGAGTCCAAGACACAGGCGCAAAGCTTCTCTTTCTAATAATATTAATTATCTCATCTTGTAAGCCGCGCTGCCTGAAAATAATACACACCCGAATTCCATAATAGGTCGTACATACATCTTGTAAATCATTATCAATGAACTCCTACGCAATCCTATTTTTCTGTTTCCCAATTTGCGTAACCACCCCAAGGCACGTGACGCTTTACAGCCAACCTCGTCTATATGGGTTTTCCAATTTAGCGTTCTATTATATACGATGCCTAGGTATTTCAGGAAATCGACCTGGGGAATGAGCTCGGTACGATACATGAGGGAAATGTTGACACGATCCTTAAAAGAGAATGGCAGAAGCGCGCTTTTTTTGACGTTCAATGACATATGAATATTGTCAAGCCATCCTTCTAGCATGTTCATGTAATTCTGTAATTTCTGATACAATGAGTGCAGATCACTGTTTGTTGCAAAGAAAGCAATATCATCTGCATATACGTAAAATTTGGATATCCTGATGAGTTGGAATGGAACTTAGTAATATGTTGAATAACACCGGGGATAATACTGAGCCCTGAGGTACACCTCGTGTCTGCCTATATTTTTTAGAAGAGCCTCCATCCAAGAAGCAATAAAATTCTCTGTCTTTCACAAACTCTGTAATCCATGCTGTTATATATTTTGGAAAGCGATGGTCTTGCATCTGCTGGATTAGGATAGGATATTCCACTTTGTCGTACGCTTTAGCTAAGTCTAGAGTGACTAGTGCACAGTATTCGTGGCGATGCCGAGCCAGCTGTATGCGACTTTCCAAATCCACATGTGCACACCAAATAGAGTATCCCGATCTAAAGCCAATTTGTCTGGGGTTTAGTATTGTATGTTTATTGATGTAGTTTATTATACGGGCATTTAAGACTCTACAAGCTTGACCAGGTTAGATATCAATCAAATAGGCCTTATGTTATCCAGAGTAAACTCCATTCCCTGTTTCTTAAGTATCGGAATTATTTTGGAAAGCTTCCAATCGGCCGGAATCCAAGAATTTTTCAGTGAATAATTAACTATATTACGGATTTCATGTGGCGATATTTCGTATAACACTTTAATCATTGTAGAGGTCACCCCATCAGGTCCGGGAGCAGCGGACGGTAAGCCCTTCATCACATCCGCCAGTTCCGCTAAAGATACCTCCTGGAAATCACAATCCACCCTTAATTTCACGATGGACTTTGGCATAATTGTCGTAAACCTGGTTTGCAAGCCTTTAGCAATATTTTCCAAGAATTCAGAGAGTTCGCGAGGAGACATAATAGTGGAATGACTGCTTTCTGGCTGTGGAATCGTTTTTCCCGCACGTAAAAACCTGAAAAGCATTTTCTTATTTTTAGACTTAGACAGATAATTAAATTTATTCGTATCATAGTCTTTTTTTTTTTGCTTTGCGCACTAGACGCTTAAAATCGGCGGCCATGAATTTATAATCACACCAATTTTTGGGGCATTGGTTAATTAACAGCTTTTTCCAAGCTGCTTTTCGCTTTCTATACCCCCTGACACATTCTAGATTCCACCACGGGCTAAAAGATCCCGCTGTGTTCGAGTTTACAGTAAACGTTGAGTTTTTTTTAGTGATCGTTTCAACACCGCAGATAGACTCATAGCTCTAAGGTCTTCCTGCATTTCCTCGCAAAAAGTTAACGTAGATTTTAAGTCTTTTTGTAATTTAGCATACTTTACGAATGAGCCAACTTTCCCTGCCAAACTAAACCTCGGGAACTTAATTTCAAACGTAATGGGAAGGTGGTCGCTGTTTGTAGCCCAATCTAATATATTCCACGAGGATATGCTTAAAGTGGGGCTGGAAAATGTTAAATCAATAGTCGATTTAGAGTTACCTTTTACAAATGTAGCAACGTGTGAGTTCAAGCAGGAAAAGTTATTATCCAGCGTCCATTCCCACAAACGTCTTCCGCATACATCAGATTTGAAGCCCCAAGAAACATGGTGAGAATTGAAATCACCACACAGTACTATTTCTTTTCTGCATGAAGCTACCATAATATCGAGGCATCTCGTGTCTTGAACTCCTGCAGGAAAGTATACATTTGCAAAAGAGAAAGGCGAGCAGTCTGGTAGTGTTATGTCTAACACCAGAATTTCGTAATTCGTATCCATACACTGATACGATATCTTGGCTCTGTGACTAAATTTAGTTGATATTAAGAAAACCAGACCACCAGCTCTACTCGGCCGATCCAGCCGTATTAATAGATAATTTTTCATGTAAAATTTTTCACCGTTACCAAGCCAGGTTTCCTGAATGGCAATTATGTCGGGAGAAATTTGCGAAGAAATATATTGTAAATCTGTCAGTGTCTGAATCAGCGCCTTTTTCGTGCATTTCATGAATCACTAATGCCATTGTGACCTACATAAATTGCCCATCTGTCTGTTACTCAAAAAAAGCAGTGCATTACGCACGAAGCCTGCGAGCTCCACTTGCCCCTACTTACCCATTGAAAGGAGGCTACTGCATTATTCATTTAATAGTAGCCTCAAGGCCGGAAGGCATTATAGAGGCAAGTGGTACATTAGATAATAATTAAACGATTACCAGCTACTTGGAAGTAAAAAACAATACAAAGTGCAAGTTAGAAAGGAGTAATACTTAGCAGATATAAAGGAGAGTAAAAAGAAATAAATTTTGTTGTGATACAGTGTTAGCTATGTGAACAAATGGGGTGTGCTGACAGAACATTTACTCAATATGTATGCTGAAAAATAAAACACAGAACGTTTGCCTGTCCTCTTACATCTCCTTGCTGTTCTCTCAGGCATTACTCTTAAAAATCCTGAATTTCAGCTAAATAAGCAGATAATGACACAGTAAAGTAGCTTTTTTTTTATGAAAATGTAGTTTTGGTTTTCACACCGCCGCCGACGACGAAAAGTGGCCGTGCGCCGCCGCCGATCATTTTGTCCGGCGTGCGCCGACGACGACGCCGTCGGTCGAAACCGCCTCGGCGCACAAGTCTAGGCAAGACAGCTGTCTGCGTCTGAAGCGGAAAACTACATTCCTGTCAATTCGATGTGTCTAGTTCATTGCAAGCCGTGGTTGAATAAAGAACATGAATTCGCTGTTGCAGCATGTTTTAGCAGTACTTCTTGACGGTATCGGCGCGCGATTGTACGCATGCTGCTCAACCGCGTCATACGGTGCATATCGGCTCGGCAACTACACACTGCGATAATCCTTTCGCATTTCGTGGGTTGATACATGAAGATGCGTCAGGCCGTGCGCCGGTCCGACCAATCCCACGGCGCCAACGCGCAGCACAGGCGACCGAACAGCCAAGCCGGCTCGATCGGTGTCTCACTTTTCCCACAGTGCTCCGCGCGCTTTCGAGGTGCCGGAATTGGTAGGCCAGTTTTAGCAGCAGACGACACGCACCAAAGGCGGCCCATGCTATGCGCGTGCTTCATTCGTGATTGACATTTGTCAATGAAACCATGCATTCTACCTGCAGTGTCCTAGGAAAAACTTTATAATTACCACAGCTTTTTTGCCAGCATCTAGATCATAGTGATGCAAGCAAAACACCCCTGCCTTACGCTGGCTGTTCGGTGGTGGCCTCTCTCGTCGTTCCTCAGAAACCTTGCATAGAAAAAATAAGAAGCGCGGCAGAGAAAACAAGATACGTAAACAAGCGGCAACCAAGCGTGTTTGCGAGCATTGCATCGAACCGTCGTCGTATAGAAGAAACGTAACTAGCATCAAGAGCACTGTCAATATGACTGATGTGATGAGCGCACCAACACGAGTTATTCCTAACGCCGCTAATGGGCCAAGCTCTTATACCCGTGACACACGGGCAAAAGTAAAGTACTTTGAAGTAAACCCCTTTCGTCGCCTAAGGGGGCCATTTGCAGAAAGGAGTGGCGCTGATGACACACGGCACCGGACTACTGCTTTAGGCGGTGTCTCAGAAGAACGCTGCAGAAAAAATGGCGCTGTTTGTGGAAGCAGCAAGATTGGAAATATTAAAAAGAATCTGCGCATGTACATCACATTCAGTGACGCCGGAGCATAAAACCATTTTTTTTATTGTCTGGTGGCTTATAATGCGCATACCTGTAATTTTTTTCGCTTTTTTGCGTTTTAGCAGCAACTTAACTTCGTCTGGCAACTATGAACAGTCGGTGTGTTGCTGTTTTTGTTTTTTGTCATGACCTACTACACTCCTGACCTGCCCAGAGAGCACCTCTTCCAGCGCCCACGTTCTAGTTCATACCTTCTGCCGCTAGGGCCGTAACTTAGGAGCACTGTGGCGCTAGTCAGCACCTGTTCGCTGACGTCAGCTTGAGTGTTCGTGGTCATATTTCGGCCAACAGAGCACTCATATTGCGTAATTATTATGCACTAATGAAAAATAATTTTGAAACAAATATTTCAAAAGTCATTCACAAATTCTTTGCAATTAAATGGACGCAACATCACATATGCTGTCCTACACTATGTAAGTCTACGGATTCTCGCATTTGTCCACCAGTGTGCAATAAATTTTTCGTCACACTGAACAGCTTACTTGACCAGTCATCTAAGTGAAAAAATAGTCACATATATGCCGGCTGTTCATCACGGAATGCAGCCGTTCTTACTCTAGCGCCGTCCAAACAGCCGTAAAGTAGCAGACGAACAGGTTATAGGTAGCGCCACCTACGGCGAGCGATTGAACGAGAGCGGGGACACGCGCTCCCATAGGAACCCCGCTATCTGAACAGGTCAGGAGTGTAGTAGGTCATGTTTTTTGTCGTGCTTTTTACATGGCTGCGTCCAGCTGGGTCAGTGAGACGGCGTGCCGCGTTTCATCGTGGTCCTGCGATGTCTCGGCGCAGAGACAGAGATAAAGCAACAGTTGAGGTGGGCCTGACTCTTGTCGCCCTCGGCTCCATCGAAGATGAGCTAAACGCTGCGAAGGCAATTTTGCTGTGAATTTGCGCCTGTGTACGGGGAATACCGGCGTCGGTGAGGCTCTCGGCAATTGCCTGGTACACTCCACCACTGTGCTTTTGCCCTTGCAAGGCGTCCAAATGGTCCTCCCATAGCCTTATCAGCGCCCAGGTCTCCTTTTCAGCACACTGGACGCGCGGTTTTTTCTTCGCCGACTGAGCCGACTCCACTGTTACAAGATACTACGTCACCGACACAGCAACTGCCGCTGCCAACCCTAACATGATCGCGCTAGAGACGTAATGCAGGCGTTTGAGAGTATGGACAGACTATAGGCCTTCACTTTTCAACAAATCGCACTGCTGCTGAAAATGAAAACATTTTTTCAGCGCAAAAAAATACTGACAGGGCACCGCAGTGTTGCGACACGTTTTCTTCTATTGATAATGTATGCACACTGTATGCGAGAGTACTCCCTTCCTGCCAGAAAAGTAGATGCGGGATCTGCTTTTGCGAAAAGGATCTTTGCCGGAAAGGAGTTACTCCTTTGTCGTGTGTCACTACGCCCGAACGCCTTTCCGAAAGATGTCCCCTTGTCTAAAGGACTTCAGGGTGCCCGTGTGTCAGGGGCATTATGCGATTACTACCACGGACTGCGGCGGTCGGCTCGTGCTCCCAGATCTTACTGCCGGGACGCCCGCCATTACGATGTTTCCCTGGAGCAAATGTTTTTTCATCAGACGTCCAATTCACGGCACCGAACGGAGTGAGGACGATACCAGAAGTGAGGATATTCACTGTGTTAGTCAGTTGCGTTTGCAACTTGACGGCCGCCTATTCATATCTGGTAGTGTTTTCCGCCTCACGGAAGTCCACGAGGCGCGTGGCTCCTTGGATGTAGAAAAAAGGTTCCCGTGTGCTGATTCCCTTACGGGCGTGTATTCCATTTATCGCGGTACTTCATTCACTCGTAGTCAAAGGTACCGTTCTTCTCTATGCACAATTCCTGTAAAAGGCTCGTCGAACTTAAGCCGCCTCGAAGGGTGGGTTGTCGTCACGTTGCCCCGACTTTATGCTAATTTATCCTTTGGAGCTGCCATGGAGCATTGGTGCGCTGAGCCTATGATTTTGCGAGCATCGCGGCTTTGCATTAAACCGTCGCATCGCCACGACTGCGCCGTCAAGAAAAGAGCGGCTACCCCGAGCGCTCTGCCTCGGCTCCTTGTGCGACAGTCAGACGGCATGCTCATGCTTTTGTTCTACACCGTGGCCACTGATCCCTCTACTGTGTCTGGCTCGTTTTGTGCTTGTAAATCGGCTTTTCAAATAGTGTTCTCCAGCTACCACTCACCCGAAGAAGTGAACACCGTGGCCATGGCAACTCCGTTTGCAAACAATTCCCTTGGTGACGCATTTAAAGTGGTCAACCTCCAGAAGGCATTATTCCTTTTTCTCTACAAAGACAAGTCCGCATTTGGTTCCTGGAAGACGTTTTATGTTGGCACAGACTTCGATAGTCTTCAAGAATTGGAACTGGAACCTCCGGAGGCCGTGCGAACCTCTCTGACGGAAAGGGTGAGATTATTTTTATTTTAGTTACGGTTTTTGTTTCGTTTCTGACTGACAAAATATGCGGGCCACCGAACGTGTTGCTTTTGCCTAATCAGTATGTTGCTGTCGTTGCTGTCGACAAGCTCCTTGCTTAGACTCGAGCCGGTAAGGTGATCAGCTTTCTAATGTACTGCGATTTAAATGACACAAAAACAATATTTCGTTTAGCTCTAGTAAACACATAGTCACAATGGTGCTCTATAATTAGGATGAATAAATTGAACCTTTATTTCAAAGAAGCAGCTCTAGGCCGCAGTTTGGGAATAGGTGAGGATGGTTGGATGTGTATAGCGTAAGTATATTAAAACTTCGTGTTTACCATTTAACTTCGTGTTCATCTGTTTTCAGTAGAAGTTTCATGGAGTCGCTCTCGCTCGGGATGGTTGACCTCTTCTACACGACCCGAAACAGGCCACTTATACTAGGATAGGTCGCAAGTGTTTTTTGTGCTTCATCATTACGTTGTAGCGCAACGCCTAAGCTTCTTATGTATTTGCTTGGTAGATGTTGGATGTGTGTTCTTCCTCGCGAGAAAGCAGAGCAAACCAAATGAGATGGTGTAAATCTGCTCCGCATACTTCTTGGCAATGTGGGCATTGAGGAGAAGTGTTTGCTATTGTTTGTCTGGCTCCAATTCATTTGTCAAGTATAAAGCAAGAGCCGCCAGTTTCTGAACTGTGGTTCTTGCAGATCGAACTAAATAGTCATGTGCAGCATGTGCCACGAGCGCCTTACGTAGTTCAGTTACTACAATCAGAGCAGGGACGCTTTTGAAGCAAGGATTGGTACACCCGCCCCGAATGCCCCTGCACCACTCTTGTGTTTGGTAATACCCCCCTCTCCCTAAAAAATATTCCCATTGTGTTGATCGAGAAGTTAATTGGGATTGGAAAAAGTACGAACTGGTTAAAGTTTCATGTCTTGGTGCCAATCCTGCTATAGATAAACAGAACAGTGGTCAACTTGACCATTGAAAGAACAAAAAAGTGGTGGCTTGCATTGCATAGGTGTAAGTTGCAAGCTTTCACAAAAATGGAAGTTTTTGCGTGTTAATTTCACTGTGTAAAAGAGGTGATATTTTATAAGACTGTTTTTTTTTAATGAGCAAGGCTAATTTTGGAGCATGGGTGAACCATGGCACTAAGTGTTTTTATGATCATGTTTTCTTAAGGTGGTGTTTGGTGAAGTACATGTGTTTCTTTTGTTTCAATCTTCCTTGAAAATTATTTCTTGTGTACTGGGCACATAAGAAAATTATTTCTTGTGTACTGGGCACATAAGTTTATGCACTGCAGTCATGGTGTCAAGCACCATGAATATATTTAGAAATTGCAGCACAAAGTTTGTGTGCCATTTAGGGCATGATTATTCAAGCATGTACAGGCTGTTCCACATAGTATAAAACAAAGAGTGTATTATAATGTACAACGAGTTGCCCCTTATGTGTGCGACAGCCTGTATATTTGGTTACCATATGTAAACATTATTACCCATTTCATTTACAAGATTCCGAACCCAGCTACTTGCTAGGGTTCAAATTTTCAGAAAACGAACCAATTTATGGGTTGGTTTCCCCCAAAGGGACAAACTTGCAAAGTGTGAGCTTTGAGTTAGTTTTTGTATCATTTTTTATCACATTTTTATCACATTTTTATCACATTAAATAAATATATAACTTTACCCCTTCTCTTGTGACCATTGAAGTAATATGTGGGAGATCAAGTGTTGTGCTTGGTGTATGACCAATTTTATCCCTTAGGCAAGGCATTGCAGAGAAACAGCATATAGTTGAGGGACAAAAATATGAAATAGTGACAGGAATTATATTAACAATTAACACTTGTGGTGCTTAACTTTTTTGTGGACTGGCTAAAACAACAGAAGCAGAAAGCATGCAAGATAGGATTTTGATATCTCTTGCTACTCCTTGAAGAATTCAATGTGTTTTGAGGGCTGCAGTACATTGGTAACATTTCTTACGAAAAATGTTGTATAAAATATAAAGAAAAACATTACCTAATTATCCAAGCTCATGTTTCATGTCTTTCTGCTAACTCCATCCTATTGATGGATGCACAGTTGCCCTGGCTTTATTTTGTCCCACTAAGGCATATAAAATTGATGTGTAATGTAAAATGAGCTTTGAAATTTTGCATGAATTTTGTGCTGACCTACTCTGAGCTTGGCAATGTGCTTGTGCCTTTGCTTTGTTAGTTGGCTTTACACAAACTATAGCAAAAAGCTGTTGTATGCCATAGTGCATAGCCAGCGTTATTTTTATATATGAACATTCATTCTACAACTTTTGTAAGCTTAGCGTGTGGCCAATTTTTATTAAGTCCAGCTCAGTCTGTCATAGTTGCATGGGTTTTGCCAATGCCTTTTAAGGTTCACAGTTGGCCTTATAAAATTAAGCGAGTTTGCTAGAATATAAAAAATAGAGCCAGCTCATACAAGATAAGATAAATTGGAGATCATTAGCAGAAGTTTTAGTCCTGTGGTTAACCTAAAAACATAGGCTAATGTTGGTGACGACCTACAGAAAGCTGTGTGTAATTTTGGGTGTGTACAATTTCTAATAAACTTTTTTCTGGTTTTTACTTTTTTATGTATTTTAGTGATTTGTATCAAAAGCAGTGTAATGTTCGTTTTTTCAGAAATATATTCATTAGGTGAAAAATAACAATGTCAATGTGGCTTTCCAGACATATACAGATCTATTCTCATGATGACGCTGTAGTAATCTGAATGAGAAGTGTTACTATGTTGCCTAATTGCCACTTTGCCATTTCATTTCGATACAGCTGTCCCGGCAGACTGAGTTCTCAAAGGGCAACTCAATTGAATCATCTGAGAACAACAAAGTGAAAGACAAGGCCAATTTGGTGTCAAAGGCCCAACCTGTCGGTTAGTGAGAAGCTTAAACAAATTTTGCACTTATTCACTACAATGACTTTGTTGTTGTTGTTTTTGTTGTTGTTTACCAGAGGTTAATCATTTTGACTGAAGAGTGGAAAAAACAGTATGAACATGATGCAAACATTCTCCACATAATCCAAATAATTGCCCACATACTGGATCATTTTCTATTTCTTTTACATCTACATTAGGGCATTATCAGGAGAAAGCTCAAAGTGTCACCGGGGTCTTTGAGCTCACTCTTAATTATTTCATGCTTATAAATGAATTGTTCTCAAATAACAGTATAAGGTTTCTTGATCTTGTCTTGCACTTTCAACCTGACCATATTTGTTAGGGATGTTCATCCTCGTCAAAAAATAGGTTCTTGTCCTTCAGTGCCACACTCTCGAAGGCTGTAAAAAAAGGCATTGCCTTGTATACCATGAAGAATGCTTTATTCCACTCTTGGTGTTACAGTGGCTAGAATAGGAAAGTGTGATGAACGCGCCAGCTAGTGCATAATGCCTTGGGAGGAAACTGCCAGGTGGCGCTAGCACACATTTGCACGTCACCCAAGGCGGTGATGCGCTGCAAAAAGATGGGAATCAACCACGCGTGTGGGCGATGTGAAACGTTTAAAATACATTTTGTTGCTCATGGATCATCTCAAATGGCCACCGAGCAATTATGCTAGCTTGTGGAATTACAGGATGCCTGCGCGAGTGCGCGACTGAACCGAAATATTGACAGGGTGAGCGCGTGACGGCCCTGAAACATTTTTATCGATGTGAAGTGGTAGAAAAGTGTAACGATGAACTCAGTGGTGAGCCATTGCTTGCAGCACCTTCCACAGCAAACGTTTCCTCAAGCACTAATCTGTAAATAAAGCCCCATCATTCATAATTAGCATGGCTCGCTATAGCTACTTCTGCTAACGAATAATCAAAATCTGTGATGAGAATAGCGAGCGGTATCTAGATGAAACTATTTTATTTTCTGCACACTGGTTGTACAATGCATTTACGAGTAGTGACTCACTGCCAGTTTACAACAATGCATTCTTAATATTTGGCCGCGCTTTTTTTTATTCACAAGAAAAAAGTTTCATATAGTTCACAAGCGCACCACAGAACATCGTTTCCCTTGACTAGGTGATGCGTCTGAGCTTCAGGTACTTCCTCTTTTCAAGGAAAGATGCTCGCTCCTTTTGGAGTGCCTCTGTGTGAAAACGCAAATGAGTGAGCAGAAAAAACTTGATCACTTGATTGGTGAGGCTTGGACCATGTTGTGCACAGCCCAGTGTGACATCTTTTTTTTTGCAAGCAAGAAACAAGCTCTTCCAAGCTGTAACTGTGAGTCTTGTTGTAGCTAAACCACTTTGAAGAAGTGATTTCAAGGGTGTTTACCAATGTGAAGGGCTTCTCTGAAAGGCCTACCCATAGGCGTCCACACGACGGGGGCAGTCGCCCCCTCAATCACCTAGAAGGGGGGCACTGCAATAAACCTTCGCTCCTACCCTTTCTGAACAGGAATCCTGCCCACGCCTATGGGCCTAACCCTTTCAATGCGGACGATTTCGTCGTTCACAGTGTGCTCGAACTGCCGGGCGATGTACCTCTTGTCGAAGTGCAGCTCGCACACAGCCGAGTTTTCTTGAAGCTGCTTGTCGGTGCGCGGCATCGCTCTCCGTCACTGCGCAAACAAAGATTTGTCCTTTGGAATGCTGAACAACGCATGCTTCTTTTTAGCTGGCTTGTAGCCTGTAGTGCACCCCGAGATGAAGCAATGACTTTATTTTCGCGCCATGAGAGTGCACACAGAAGCATTGGTGTCAGAGTGCCACCTCACAAAAAGAAACAAAAATGAACGTGCCGGATGAAACTGTTAGAAATGTGCAAACAACGTATAAACGACTGCGCGCGCACCCACGTAGCTCCTTCACAGAGGCTTCACTGTGCTTCGTAGGCGCCGCTTGCCGCTCATCACACTTTCCTATTTAGCCACTGTGTGTACACAGGGTGCATCCCACTGTTGCCAACCAATTTTTGAACATGCCCTGCATCATGGTCTCAATTACTCTACATTACCCTCGACATTTTTTTTCTACCCCACATTTTACCTTACGCCTAAAAATGGCACAGTGTAACAAGGAAAATGTACATACTGCACTTTGCTGTACCACATGCAAACGTGCAGTGGGGCTGAATTGGGCAGTTACTTTGAATATTGGCATTTTGAAAAGAGAATAAAATTCGGAGTTGAAACTTTTGAAGAGAGAATGAGGAACAAGAAAGACAGAAGGTGGGAACAGGAAGCGTCATGGTACTTGTATGAGAAAAAGGTTGACTCACAGTTGAGAAAAAGAGCTAGGGGACTTTTCATCAAGTCTACATCTGGCAGTGTAAGTGATATTGTTGTGGGAAGAAAACAGGCGCACGAGTGCAGAGTTTGTGTGTTGACAGCAATTGCAGAAGTTGCCCATGCAGCGATAAGCCCCGCATCTTTCTCCAATCTGAGCAAGCTTTCCCATTCTCTTTACCGCAACATTACCCTCCCGGTGGGCATAGCTCCATTCCTGTGCAAATCATGGCACATCAGTTAAGGCGGGTATGTACTGCTTAAGCCCGGTCGCATAAACAACGTCGCTATTGAGGTGAGGTAGCAAAGACCTGTTGCCTGGTGTGATCTCGTACGTGGCGTCAGACAATTGGCGTAAGATCTTTTACGGACCAGAGTAGCAACAGAGGACTTTTTCAGCCAAGCCGACACAGTGTGAGGGCGTCCAAAAGAGGACAAGAGAACCAGAAGGAACTTGTGTGTCTCGGTGCTGGCGATCTTAGCGTTGCTTTTGAGAAGCTTGCGATGTTGTGACGCGTTGACGAGCAATTTCTCGGGCATGAGCGGCCAAAGTGATTGCATCGTGGGTGTAATCGGTCATTGAGAATTTGACACCAGATGGTAGGAACATGTTGAATGATGTCAGCAGTATTTTTGTATAAAGATGTTTTACTACAATGTATTATAGCGCTTGTTCTTTTCTCTTCCATTGTATAATTTTTCTTCATTTTATTCTTTGATGCAGTTTCCTTAATCTTTATGCTTTATTTATGGTGAATTTTCTGTAACCCCCCCCCCCCCCTACTCAATGCTCTTCGAGGCCAAAGGGTATTATGAATAAATAAATAAATAAAGCAGGGTCGCAGCGGTACAAATGGGAAAATGGCGGTAATACGGCGGTTTCTTGGCGGGCTGCATTCTAAGCAAAAATTATGTATGATAAAGCGACGTCGCAGTCATGGTGATCGTCAGAAATGTACATGACAATATGTCAGTTAGAGTGCAATTCAGTCACTTGGGGAACCAGTTCATTTGAGGGTGGTACGCAATAGCGATCTTGTGTTCAGTGGCACAGGAGCGGAGCAAGTCATCAACAACCTTCGACAAAAAGTAACGGCCACGATCTGTTAGTAACGGTCGAGGGGCGCGGTGGGGCAGGATAACGTATTGGAGTATAAAGTCTGCAACATCTGTAGCACAGCTAGTTGGTATCGCTCGTGCGATGGCGTATCTTGTTGCATTATCTGTCGCGACAGCAATCCACTTGTTACCTTTGGTAGAAACAGGGAATGGGTCAAGTAGGTCGAGGCCCTCACGGGAGAATGGTTCTTTTGGGACTTCAGTTGGCTGAAGCAAACCAGCAGGAGGCAAAGTAGGCGGAAGAAGCGGTGCTTTACGCAATCGTAAGTCCGAGTGATGCCCATTTGTCCAGCAGTAGGAGCGTTGTGACATTCTTGGAGCATGGCCAGTCGCAGGTGCTTGGAACCGACTAGTAAGAGCACGGTACCGTAGGACTGAAAATAGCGGCGATATAAAATTCCGTCAAGCTATGTGAACATATAGAAAGAAGGGTCGGTGGGCATGCAGCTTAGGTGGTCCATAAAGCCCTAACCACATGCATGCAATTTCCTTGCGACAGCATCAAACGACAGCGACGAGCGACAGGATTTGTTGTCGCGGAGGCCTATCCTTCGCCGCCGCTAGTCGCGTCGCGCGTTTCTAGAAAACTAGAAAAGATCGCTTGTCGCCCGGAAGCCAGTGTGGCGCGTTCCTGCAATATGGCTGCGCCTCTGATCATTGCTTCGGTTGAAATTTGCTCTCGATGCTTGTTATCCGCGTCTACTTCAAGGAATGCAAGGTATCGACTATCTTTTTTACATTCACGTCTCACGCGGAGAGTGAGAGAGCGGCCGTATTTTGTCTTAAATCTTGTTATAGGTTTGTTTTGATGTCCTGATGGTAGCTTGTGACAATATGATCGCTTGCTACAATGCGAAATCATCTTGCGAAGTGTGCCGTAGCTGTCGTAGCGTACGCTTCTGGGCAGCCTGTCGTGGTTAAAGCAAATATTGCATGAAAAGAAGGTCGTAAAATGCTTTTGTGCCTTCCTTATGTCACACAAGGCAGTAATAAATTTGGCATGTTGTCATCGACCAACTTTTTAACTTCTATTCGCAATTTACTGGTATTCATGCAATAGTTTTCATTCAATCAACAATGGCACTTTGTCGCCGACATGCGGTTGGAGCAATTGTGACGCGACGGCGCAACGGAGCAAATTTGTCGCTGTCGCTAGGAAATCGCGTACATGCGGTTAGGGCTTAATTTGTGGAGAACAGGGTCTTGTCGTTGCTCGCTGCCTACGTGGAGAAAGCCAGATATGGATAGAGTACAGATGTCCATGTTACTATTAGTGTTGTCCGGTTGATCCAGAGGATTGCAAAAAAGGCAGTCAGCATTGTTGTGCATGCGCCCAGATTTATGCACTATTGTTAAGTCATACTGTTGTAGACCCAATGCCCAACGCACTAGTCATCCAGTTGGGTCTTTCAAAGAGGACAACCAAGAAAGGACGTGGTGATCAAATGACGACGCGGAAAGGACGAGCAAACAAGTACGGTCGAAAGTTTGCGATAGTCCAAACGAGCGCAAAGCATTCCGGCTCAGTTATCGAGTGAGTGCGTTCGGGAGTGGAGAGAAGGCAACTCTCATAGGCGATGACACGGTTGTGACCCTGTTGATGCTGAGCGAGAACAGCGCTGATACTATGACCACTCATGTCAGTGCGTACTTTAGTGGGTGCGGAAGAGTCGTAGTGTCAGAGAATCGGTGACCTTGTAAGCCGCTCAATAAGGGAAGAGAATGCTCGCTCTTGATGAGATGTCCAGAAGAAAGAGGTATCCTTCTTAAGAAGGTCGATCAGAGGACGAGCGATGTTGGCTTTCTTTACAAAGCAACAGAAGTATGAGCATAAACCCATAAAACTGCGACATTCTTGTCGATGAAGGCATCGAAAAATGTTGCGCAGTGCGAAATTTATTTATTTTTAGTCAGGTTGGATTCCTGCGGTGTTTACGAGATGTCCGAGCACGGTAACTTCGCGGTAATCGAAGTGGCACTTAGAGGAATTCAGCTGAAGGCCAGCAGAGCGAAACACTGAGAGGATAGTTCTGAGGCACTGCAAATGGCTTTCAAAAATCGCTGAAAACACGATCACATTGTCTAGGTAACAGAAACACATTGACCATTGACCATTTAAGCCTCGCAAGAGGGAGTCTATCATGCGCTCGAATGTAGCTGGCACATTGCACAGTCCAAAAGGCATGACTTTGAATTGGTATAAGCCATTCGGTGTTACGAAGGCGGTTTTTTCACGGTCCATCTCTGCAACACTGATCTGCCAATAGCCTGAATAGAGATCAATTGTAGAAAAATGGTTCGATCTGTAAAGGCAGTCAAGGGCGTCATCTATGCAGGGCATTAGATGCACATCTTTTTGGTTATCCAGTTCAGGTGATGGTAAGTTGTTGTCCCCCCCCCCCCCCCTTTTTTTTTTTTTTTTGCCTAGACCACTCGGGATGCCTACGGGCTACTCGATGGTTCAACGATGTGCTTGTTCATCATCTTGTCTGCCTCTTTCTGTATGATGGTCCTTTTTGCAGCGGAGACACGTTATGGCCTCCTATGAATGTGACTTGCGCCACCGGTGTTGGTGCAATCGGTGACAACAGGCGTCTGTCACAGAGGCCGGTCTTTCAAGTCAAAGACATCCTGATAAGATGACAGGAGGTGACGAAAAGCTGTTGTGTGTTCCTCAAGGAGGTCGGGGACAATCATCTTAGAAATGTCGTTCGCAGTCGACGAAGATGAAGCGACAGAGGTGTGCTGGTATCGGATAGAGATGCAGTAACCAAACAGGAAATCTTATACTCTTCCAAAGGGTAGAGATTTGTCATTGCGATGCCCTGGGGAAGCATGGGCGTAGAAAATCCAAAATTAATGACTGGTGTGCAAGCTAGATTCTCTTGTATTCAGACTATTGCACTTGGCAGGGCAATATTTCGTGTCATAGTCATGTCGGCGAGCGGCAACTTGACATAGTTGCTGTCTTGGACGGGAGGAGAGGGCATCAGGATAACAGCTGTCGCAACCTGTAGGGACAGACAAGCGAAGTCCATGGAACATAAACGGTGTGGTGCAGAAGTTGCGGCGTCAGCAAGGAAGAGGAGGTCAAGCTGTACAACTCCATCAGAGCAGTCAATCTGGGCTGTGTTCTGGGCAAGAAAGCCTATGCCCAGAATGAGGTCATGCGGACACTGTTCGAGCACAATAAGTAAAACTATAGCGTAGCAGTTGCCGACGGGGAAATTCCGACGCCTGACCTATCCCCTTTGCACGTGCAGCGACGCAAGCTTGCCTATGGGCAACTTTACGTACCACTGAGCTCGTCGATTGGTCCTTTGTCCTACGAAACGGCACATTGGCCCTGCGGTGATGCAAGTTCGGCCGCACAGTTTGCATTTTAATTTTCCTGTGCTGCTTTGCCATTTTGTAGAGCCTGGGACTTCCTGGAGAAGCAGTATTGATAGAACGAAAACCTCCGAGATAAAGAGGCAACTCATTACCGCTAGAGGAAGAGTGCTCCTCGCACTGCGCTTTCTTTTCCCGCTGCTACGACGCCTGCTCAGGGGGGGGGGGGGGGGGGGGGGGGCGCTTGTTTGGTCGTTGGCTGCGCACCGATGACGTATCGCTAACGTCATGTCATGTTGCAGAAGTGGGTGGAGTTATAACAGCGGGCTATGCCTGCCCCTCTTTATGACAGAGAAGGGTGATGAGGCTGCGTCAAAATTTGAAACCAGCTGAAACTAATGTTCTAACCTCTGTAATTATTTTATTATAGCATGAATTTGCAATATTCTTGCGAAAGCAAGTTCACATAGCAAAAGTGCGCATATTCCACTTCATTGCAATTTTCTCACCACAAGGTTTACAGGCCTGGTGAGTCGCTATAGCCAGTGGAGCTCTGGATGAAAGGTTCCATTCACTTTAGTGACTAATAAGAAGTACTAATAAATGTTAAATTTCTCTCTCTCTCTCTCTCTCTCTCTCTCTCTCTATGGCCCTTTAAAGAAATCGTGCCATACATTGTGCTAGACATGGGTGCACCCCTAGCCTGTTTGAAGTTACTCTCCTAAGACGCTATCGACAAAGGTGTGCAAAAGACATAATTGAGGCCTCTGCTATTTTCCTAAAGGGCGAGCTATGTGTAGATTTCCATCACCTGATCGGATTGAGACAAGAAAAACTACAAGCAATGAAGCATTTAGATAATGATATCTGCTATATGACATCACCCACATGATTCAAATCGTAACCTAACCTTTCATGCTTTCCTGTATTTATATATAGTTGGTTTCTTCAATAAAATTTCTAGCTGGTAGTCAGCGCCTGTCCTCTTGTCACATTCTTATGTCCTATGCTCACGCTTTATTTTTCCACTTTTCAGTAATGTACCAACTAGCCCGCCTTTCGCTGCTTGTCCCGTATGTTTTTGACAACATGGAGTTATCTACAATCCTTCTGCATTAACTTATGTATGAATCATTTTTCAGCCCGCCAGCAACGATCCCTCTCCGAGTCTTCTGCATACCAGGTTTGTGCTGTTACTAATTTTTTAGTGGGGTTATATCATGCTTTTAGGATAACAAAAAAAAATCAAATTTTCGAGCTTAATACTTTGAAATTGTGCATTGTGTCATAAGGGATGCCATAGTAGAGAGCTCTGGAGTAGTTTTCACTGTATAGGGTCCAGTGACAGACACTCCAACTTAAGTGCACAAGTGTTATTGTGTCCAGCACCGTCTGAATGCACGTGTACAGCCGAACTTTTTTAGGTTTTATGCTAGGCCGTTGAACTTAGTGTCCACTTCGTGTGGTGGGTAATTTGTTAACACTATAGTGTATACCAGAACTTATTAAGCAAAAGGAGGCAGGGAAGTAAAAAAAAATCCTTTGGGCTAGCACTTGAAAAGTAATATTTGTTTACTCTGGCATCCACCTATGTTGTGCCCCCACTTTGAAGGAGCACTGACATCAAATTTTAAGATCTAAATGTGCCCATCATTCAATCACTTGGTATGAATAGGTCATCTTGGCCAAATTTGAATGGCGTCCATCGCGTCAAGTTATGTTGTTTCGACGTCAAATAGTGAAGAAAAGCTAAGGAGAAAAAAACGAAAAATAGACTGCCCTGCGACATCGACAGTAGTGCTACGTGTTTGGTGTGATACATTCCACAAATACCATCCCGAGTCGCGATACGCTAGTAACGATGACGTTGACGATCTCTGAGTGTGTTTAGAGCCGACTCCCAGCCATGCTCTCACCTGGCTCTCCTTGTAGTGGCTCTCCTTGCTATATTGAAGCGTGTGTGCGAATCATAGTTTTGCATCAAAGGATTTGCGTTGTGTTTCACTGTGTGTGAGTACGATCATTCAGAGTGACAATACGTGCAAAAATGTCGGGGCGCGGAACCTGCACATCGAGGCGCAGAAAAAGCGGGAAGTGCGTGGCGTTTTATGCCTTTCCAAACCATGAACCTCAACGCAGCGAGTGGGTTAACTTCGTTCGCGTGGTTGGAAGAGGGACTGGACGCCTGGGAAGAGTAGCCGCATTTGCTTCCTTCACTTTGCGGCGAGCTGCTACAGGGTAACTCCTGTGTTGGTGAACGGGTTGGGTTTCCCTGGCAGTCGGAGGCCTCTTCTCGAGGCCAGGTCTATTCCTACCGTGTGCCCTGCTGCAGCTGAAAGCAGCGATTCACTCGCCAAACGTCCGCGACATAAGGTGCGTAGTTGGTGTTCCTGAGCTCTGACAGTATGGCCGGGACTGGTAAATACATTGCATTTAACGCGGAGTTTGTCAAGCAAGGATAGTCGGGAACCGCGGGGATACCCAATTCCAGGTTGCTATCATCATCACTTGCCGATGTTGACCGCGACGACGGCAAGGACGACGATGTTGGCGACAGAGGCATGTCTACGCCTTCAAAGACACAGCTGGACTGACTGTACGTGCGCTCCTAGCAGACGAAACGCCGGCGTGACGTCACATTTTTTGTAAAAGTGGCATCAGCTGTGCAGCGGCCTCGACGTGGTCGCGAGGTAGCGCTGCCAGCACTACAATTTGGCGGGCTTTCCGCCCATTTTGAACCGCGTTCGATAGCAAATATATTAATCAATATTACAGATACTCATTCGTCACACGGATGCGTTTTAGTTCGTGAATCGCTACTAGGGGGTCGATAGCTACTCGTTGACGCAGAAATCTTGACACGAGTAAATTTGATGTCAGTGCTCCATTAAAAAGTGAAGAAAAATGAAACTACATCATGCAAAAAGGAGTGCAAGCTTTTTGTGTAAATATTAGGCATTCTCATGCTTTTTATTGAAATTAAGAGATCTACCTTGTGTGTTTTCATTTCTAATCTGATTTAGATGTTGCTTTTGATATTTGCATTTGGTTATTACTAAAAGTATGGGGGCCTTTGCCAGAAAGGTCTTATTGGTGTCAAATTTGGTAAACCTTTAGCTCAGAGTTTTAGTGAGACTATCTCTGACAGCTTTTCAAAAGACATTTCTTTGTGAAATTGTATGTGTATCATATTTGTGCTTATCCGATGTGCGATCTGAACCTTGCAGGATAGTAAAAGATGCAAAAAGGCATAACAAGCCAAGGCTTGTTGATACTTCCTTGATTTTTAGGTTAATGGACTTTTCGCAAAATTTTGCAAGTTGGCAGCCACGTGAGGCTTTATTATAGTAACAAGAAAGTTTCATCCATCTGTTGCATAATGGCTGTCTTCTGTAGTTCGCTTATGAATAAAGTCTTGCAGCATAAAAAAGGGAGTGTCCAGATGAGGTTATGCATTTGACCACTTCACTTTCAGCTAGGTTTTATTTCCCAACTATATTAGATATAAACTAATCACATTACACATGTTATTTATTTATGCTGCTGATCTTGTGTGTGTGTGTGCACATGGGCTTACTTAAAAATTTACTTTGCACCACCCTACACTTGAGAACAAGGTAACTGACTGCCCCTTGTCCAATATTGCTGCCCTTTTTATAGCTGCAAAGGTGAGATTGTTTGACAATACAAAGGCCCAGTAATGTTCTCCTTGCATTTTTCTTCCAAAGGATGCTAGAGTGCAAGTGTAATGTTTTACCCGTAGAAAGATTTGCAAAGCAGTGACCTTCTTTTTTGCTTGTGGAAGTTTCAAATGTGTTGATAGATGGCGAAAAAACAGAGGGACCATCTAAGCTGATATTTGCATTTTACCGTATTTACTGGCGTAATCCTCACACTCGCATAAATCTTGCAACCCCCACATCGGCCAATAAAAATACGATTTCTTTTTTTCCGCGAGTAATTATCGCATTCCCGAAAATTGCTGCAATAATGTCGTCTGCTCGATCCAGTAACTGATAATGATAGTGCACTCCATCTGAGATGCGCCATCTCTTAAGCATCTAGCGTTCTATTATATTGCACGGAGATTCAAGCCAAGCCAAAGTGGCAAGTGCGCATTGCAGCGTGTTTTGTACATTGGGTCCGTAATTTTGTTACGCTATGAGGTGATACCAAAGCTACACGGCTGCTTTCAAGTTGAAAGTGATTGATCATCTACTAAACAATGGCAACAGGGCCACTGGTAGGCCCATCGAAGTCGACGAGTTTTGTGTTCGCTATTGGTGACGGCAGGTGAAAGCCACCAAGATGTGTTCGGTTTTCGGTGTGTCTAAGACTGGGATGGATAACTTTATTTCATCAGAAGGCAACTGCAGATGATTCTGTGTTAAATGTCCATCAGCCTAATATTGACGTCGTACCCTAACCTTTTGCGGGCTACTGTTGAGTGATGAACGTAACGCTACACCAGCAATGCCCACGAGCTTTGCATACGGTATTCTAATTCTTGACTATTTACTTGCACCTTTCGTGCCTCAAATAAATTTTGCCTTGTATCGAACCTTTGGTTTTATTGTTGAGGTAAGTTTTAATGAGTACTTCTCGAAGCTTGCAGTTAGTTGCTGGCGTGATAATCCTGATTTGCGGCCACTTCGTTTTCTTTTTCGCTCTGTACATTTTCGCAGAAAGTTTTCCTCGTGTGATTCTTGCACCTCCCAACTTTGCATCGATTTTCCGCCAAAAACGTGTGAGGATTATGCTAGTAAATATGGTAATAGATCTTTCATTGTCACCAAAAGGAAAGTTCATCATAATGTTGTTTTGATAAAGATTGTGTATTTTTGTATTTGGCTAGTGATATTTACCGGTTTGACATTTAACCCACCCAATCAAAATTTGGCATTAGGAAGGCTTTCATATAGAGCACTAAATTTTTTTTTTCTTGTCGTAGTGTTCACCATATTAACAAATACTGGTGCTTTCACTCTTGTAGTGTACTTTAGACAAAGGGCATAGCGACAAACTTGAAGCCCTCTCATATGAACTTCCTGCAAACACAAAGACATGCTATTGTTTTTTATCGTGCCATGTCAAAAATTGTGTGTAATATACTTTGCAAGGGCATTCATTTGCCCCAATTGATTAATTATGATTACCTAAAGCAGCACATAAAGACAAGGTTCAAATATTTCAGAGACATACAAGCTATAGAATATCATTGAGCTGAGCTAGTTGGTACATATTCATGTTAAGACTCGATGCACAAACACTAGCAAAAAAATAAGGGAAGGTTTCAGAAACGCCGACATTTGTGGTGTCTTGACTTCTCTCCTTTTTTGTGTTTGCACACCTAGTCTTTTAAAATGGATACGAGCAATATCTGTCTATCATTGATTGTTTGTCTTTTTGTTGACGCTGTATTCAAGACGATCGCAAGAGCTTGCATTTAACTGGTACGAACACCAGAGCGCATTTACTTTCGATAGAGTCAAACGGAGCTGGTCATGTGATGCAAATATTTTCGAGGAAGCAGGATGTTCCCATGACAATAATTCAAGATATGAAGTTATAGAGTTGTGTGTGTGGGTGTGTGTACAATTTATAACAGCTGAAAGCAAAGCTTTCATGTCTTCTTGCGCAGTTTAAGCATCTAGAGAGTGGACCACTTTCAGGGGAAGCAGCCACATCTGTATTTGAGAGTTCATAAGCACAATGCATAACTGATGTTTGGCATAAAAGTTGAAAGGGAAGCACTTTTTGTATATGTGCACGACCGTGCGATTATGTTCGACCACAGTAGTGCATTTTAACGGTCATTTTGAATGCAATAGCATTCAAGAGCTATTTTTACAGAAGTTCCAGCGTCTATGTTGGCATGGGCGTTGTCAGTTGCGAGTGAAAAATCGAGAACAATGCAAATGAAACAAATGAAAAAAGTTTTCGGGTCCGACTGAGGTTCGAACACAGGCCACCTAAAGCAGGAACACCTGCTTGCGTGGTAAGCAGGTGTTTTACTACATAGGCACGCTGTTTCTTGAAACTGCACCAAGTAAAAACACTGTAAGAGTGTTATTTAGTGGAAGGTGTATTCTTAACGTGCCCCATATTGCATGGCAGAAGCATATAATTGCACCAAGCATCAAAATATGTTAATTGTGAGTGGGTGTTTTAAAGGCCCACCCATTACGAAGCACTCAGACATATTTATTCGTTATGAGCAACAGAACCATCAACAAAGTGAACAGCCGCACGGATTTTGCCCTATGGACGCATAGTGGGCCCGTCGCTGATTCAGAGATGTGGCTATAAAAAGAGATAGTCACATCTCTGAATCAGCGACGGGCCCACTATGCGGTGATTCACAAAAGGAATAATTATAGTGCAGTGGGCATTTAACAACTGTGCTGGCAATGCACATTCAATGATTCTTTAAAATGGCCAGTGTTACACGCACAGTTGTTCATTTCCTTTCGGCATGATTGAGGCCTGCACTGAGAACCAAAGCAGGTAAGCAGTTCTGAAGGTGATGCACACAAGGCCCAATTACACCATCACAATCTACTCTTGAAGGCAAAGCTCAAGCATCCTCCAATTTCTGACACATTCACAATGTTAAAAAAGGCGAAGCAGCTTTCTTTTATCATTTGTGACATGCTGAGTACGTGCTGTTAAGTGCTTGTTCGCGTAGGTTGAAACAAGCACTGTGTGTCAACTATTGCATTATTATGTTCTGCCCTTGCTTTGTTCGAACTCAAAGTTGCAGTTCCAGCTGAAGCAGCTGATGGTGCATTGCTTCAACTGTTGTAGAAGGGTTGTCAGCACATATAACCAACCACAAGTCATTGGCCGCATGTTTCTACACTCTTAACAGGGGAAGGGGTGTGCAAAGGCTGTACTCTTGTTCCACTTAATAACAGTTTTTTGCTTTACATAGGAAGAAAATTTACTGAGTTTTGATTTGAGGAGCAAAAATGGCCATGAAATGCTTTTTGTCAGCGATGGAATGCTGCTAAACATGTCTTGCGTAAAGTAGCTCTTTTTCAATGCATCAAAAGCCTAGTGTGTCATCGCTCTGGCAGTTGACCATTATTTATAAATACCAGTAGCAGTATTTGTAAGGAAAGAAATGTGACAATGCAAGCTCTCATGTTTCCTGCATAGTGTTTTAATAATTCAAGAAATTTGACTTGCCTTTGTTTTGAGTTGTAGTGTGTGACTGCACTCTGCATTGCATCTTGCAAGAGAACTTTACCAGTCTTACATGAGGCCTATATGTCATAGTTTGCGTAATATTGTCAGAGTTTGAGCAGGCAATAATAGTGTACCAAAATTTATATTGCTGCTAACTGAGATTTTTCACAATTTTTGTAGATACCCCAGGTGTCTAGGCGAGGCATTCTGAAAAATGGCACCGACTGGAGACGTACCATCTCAGAGTCAAGTGATGAATTTTTGTCATCCTTATCCCTTGATTCAGACACTTCGCTTCCAGCCAGCTCCCTTGAAAGCGTCCAACCTAAAAAAACGGTTAGCTTCAATAACCACGTCACCAACATTGTATACAGGTATACCTCTTTCATTTCCTCATTTTTAAAAGAATACATTCCTGACAGTAACTAGTTGTAGTAATCAGTTATGATTCTAGAGAAGTGTCTAAAAAAAAAACTTGTGTCGTGGGAAAGGGTAAGCCAGACAAGAATTAAAGGTGTATGTGACGTCACTTTTAAAGATCCTGCACCAGCTTACCTTTATGTTTCAAGTGTATTGACATCTTCAGAGGCCCACTTACTTTTTTTGAAAATGAATATGCGCTGAATACTTTGCCTTTGAATATGTAGAGCCAAAAAATGAATTTGCATAGTTTCATTTTGTACTGTGCCACAACAGTCTAAATTAATTCTATGGCTGTTCTGGCACAATTTTCTCACAGAAGCACCATATATATATATAATCATCATATCAGCATGTTATTGTATATGTATACATCGATTTGCAGCATCAGACACGTTGACAGGACGTTGAAGATCTATCTTATTGGAAAGAGGCTACTCAATGGCAGGCAGAGCTAGGTTATTCAAATGTTTAATCATCATCTTTCTGCAAAGATAAGTCTTCAATCTTCGAAGGTGTTATATTCACTGTTTAAGTGGTGTTCTGAAGGATGAGCCACACCCTGTAGGCTGTTTACTAAAAACTGCTTTATTTTTGCAAAACGGCGCCTGTTTGCAGAGTGTGCAATCCTTAAATTGTGTCCTTCTTGAAGGGAAACGACATGAAAACATTAGCCCAATATTCCTTTCGCTCCGGCCGCCCGGCGGAGTGACCAAAAGCTGGCGTTTGGAACTCTTGGAGTGGCACTACGCCTATTTGCCGGTAATGGCAGTGCTTCGCTTGTAGAACATCACATCCCTTCTCTCTTAACTATACTCGCCATAGCGACCTGGGGGTTGATGACGCTGTTGCATACGTGATGCCATTGTCGTGTCCAGCTGGGTCACCGGTTCTTGTGGCCCTGGCTCTTCTGTTAGGCTAAAGCAAGACGACACAAAGAAGTCTGCTGGTGGATCAAGCATGTATGGCGCCGGCACGGTGGCTTGCCGAGTTGTTTGGCATTGCTCTTCGTGCCCGCTTGACATGTGGTCTTTTGCCTGACTTTTGTCGACACCGGGTTTTATATGGTAAAGGTGCCTTTGAAACGTTCCCGTTCCACATTTAATCATCGAAAACCTGGGCCCAAGCCTCTCTATTATTGTTCCCTCCATCCATGCAGGGCTGCCCCCAGAATTTCAGATGAATACGGCTTGCCCTGCGGAAATTTCCTTCGGGTAGTTATACTCCCTGGTGTTCGACTGTGTTTTCTCGCACGGCTGGGGCTGAAGTTGTGTGAACGCAGTGACCGTCGCTCCCGAACGTTAGAGTGGCTGGTGTTTTGCCCATTGCAGTTTATACCGTGATGTCCTGCTTAAGTAAAAACCACACCAGCCTGTATGCAAATGTATGCAGCCTGTATGCAGTTTTTTTTTAACAACCCATGATACCAGTAAGTGGTTGATGGTCTGTCATTACAGTTATTTGTTGGCTAGCAATGTACTTGTGAAAGTGGCTGACACCGTATACAATGGCCAACCCGTCTTTGTCAAGCTGAGAATAGTTCTTTTCCACACTTGCCAATGTTCGTAAAGCAAATGCTACGGGTGTCTCTCGGTCAAGAGCGTGTTCCTGAGCCAGCACTCCCCCATGCCATATGGTGACGCGTCTACAGACAAGATATGTGTATGCAACACTCACCCCAAACAATCGCTATGCCACTTGATGTTTCGACTATGTCCTCATGTAACTGCCCACCTGCTTGGACCTAAAGGTCTGCAGTATGTATTAAATAAAATTAAATAAAAAATAAGAGGTTTGGTTTCATCGTAATGCAGAAGCACTGTGGAAGTGTGGACCATGTGTTTGAGCTCCTCGAGGGCGGTTTTGTTGTGCGCTTCCCACTTCCAGCACGCATTTTTTTCCAGCAGCTTGTACAGTTTCGCTGCGACATGTGCCCTGTTCTCTAGAAAGGGGTTGTAGAAGGAGATTAGCCGAAGAAATGCTCAAAGAGATGTTTTGTGAGTTGGTTTTTGTGCCCAAACTAAGGCCTCAATTTGGTTCTTGGGGGCGTGCACCCCTTTGGCATTTATTCAGTGTCCCAAAAACTCAACTGACCTGATGCCAAAGTGGCATTTGTCTTGCCTTAGATGTAGGCCTCTCTCACTTAGCCTCGTTGAAACCTGCTCTAGACAGCGTTTATGCTGACAAGCTCCTTTACAGCTGATAATCATATCGTCGATGTAGACACTCACCCAGGAAATGCCGGCCAGTCTTAATTTCATTATTCCTTGGAGGATGGCAGGTGCGACGGATACTCGGAATGAAAGCTGATTCACATTAAAACTGCCCCTTGGTGGTGTTCACCGTGAGGAGTGCTGCTGTTTCATCATCAACTTTCAAGTGCTGGTATGCTTGGTACAAATCCAATGTCGAGACAAGTGTTTCACCACGCGTATTCGCAAACATCTCTGCTGTAGTTGGAAGAGGGTATGAGGCCTTCTTCGCCGCTGCATTAACAGTGCTCCTGTAGTTACCACACTCACATAATGGTCCATCTTTCTTCGGAAAGAGAACCAGCGGTATCACCCATTTGGAATGCTTTATCGGTGAGAGGATGTCCTGACGATGCAGGCAGTCAAGCTCATCTTTCGTCGGCCCCTACAGGGCAAGAGGCACAGGGCGAGCCTTAAAAAATTTTGTGTTGGTGTCTTTTTTTCAATTCAAGGTGAATTAAGGGGCCTGTGTAGCCATCAGTATACTCTCTGAACATGTCTGGGTGCCATAAGATGACTTCCTTGATCTCATCGGTTAGATGTTCCACCTGGTTGATTCCGTGAACTGGGATATGGAGAGGAGCAAGCCAGTCTCGTCCCAAGCGGTTGTATCCAGCTCTTTTCATCGCCAGCAACAGTACCACGCAATCATCTGCCTTAAACTTTACCCGACATGGATTGGTTCACAGGACATGCAATTCTTCCCCCAACCAAGTGCGCAAGTCGTGTGGCTCCCATGAAAGTTGAGGGGTGTTCTGTGGCCATGCTTTAGGTATCCTGTCTTATCAGGGAGCGTGCGGCATCTGCGTCCACTTTAAATTGCAGGGATTTTCGTTCCACTTCTATGTCTACCAGGAACTTGGGGCACTGTGTGTGCCCACTTACTGCATGCAGCTCGTAACAGGAATCGCTGCTTTCAGCTTCGCCATACAGAGGAAGTGCGTTAACACTGTGCCTCTGTTGCTTGGTGTGTTCACTTGCTTTCTTTTACTACTTCTTGTGTTTAATGCAGGCGTCTCTGATATGACCCACTTTTGAGAAAAAATGGCACTCTGCTGTTTTGAATGTGCTCGTTGAAGGGTTGTGCCGGCTGTCACATCTGAAGCAACAGCTTTGGAGAGGTGGTTTCTCGTCTTGCTTATCGGGAACGGCCTTATTGACCTCTCCTGAGTTCGTTGCAGCTCTGATTCCCTGCTGCTGCCTTGATGCACTCCGCTGATAGGGCTACATCTAAAGTGCGTTGGAAGGTCAGCTGCTTTTCAGCAAAGAGGCATTTGTTGGAGATGTTTATCGCAGATGCTGCACACGAATCTCTCTCAGCTTTACACCTTGTGGCAGCATTGTTGGGTTCCGTTGTAAAACGGTTGCTTGACTTCCCGTAACGAAATCAGTGTCGCAGGTGTAGCCGCTGGTACACCAAAGTTGCAGTCCACTGTCAAACTCGTGAGGGCTGCGACATAGCTGCTGATTGATTCACCGAAGTTTTCGTCTCGTCGCTGGAAGACCGGTTTGAATCATTGTTTGAAATTGCTCAAAGATTTCATAGATTTCTGGAGATATGTGGTGTCGATGGAAAAGGAAATAACTCTGTTCCTCTAAAATGCATGGCCAAGGTGATTGATACTTATCAAGGCAAAGTAGAATGTGTTGGCAAGTTTTTTTTATTTTTCAGCATTGGTTCTCAAACACAAAGCGAGATGTAGTAACTAGAGCCTCTATAATGCAGCGGGGTTTTTTTTTTTTTTTTTTCACTCGAATGTGCAACTTTCCTTTCATCCTTTCTTCATGACTGTCCAATAGTGACGATAGTACAGAGGAACTTAGATAAAAATAAATATTAAAATATAAATAAATAAATTTTTTTAAAATTACAGCATATCCACGGGGTGAATGATGGAGAGTGGGGCGAAGCTGGGTATGAATGCCACTTCCGCCTTGCTTCGGCCTCCCGTTGTCACACTGTAGGGTCCTCGCAACGCGCTTCTGCCTCGTGTGCCCGCTCGTCGGGGTCCCTTCTTCGAATGCAAGCCGCTGCTGCTATGCACGCCTGCCGCTCAGCAGCCTTGTCCATCCTCCGTCGCCGAGCCTCTGAATGCCCGGGCACACCAAAAACGGCGCCTTTATTGTACTATAGAGCGCCCCCTAGCGTACGGCACCACCGAATAACACGAGATCATAGTCGCGCAATCGTCTCTCTCTTCTTTCTTACGTGTGACATCAAGCTTTCTTTTATACAAGTAACACCCTCTAGTGTCGTACCATTTGCATTTTTCAGCATATAGTACAAGCACCACCCTCTATGGCCGGTTCAAGAATTAACGAGGGGAGGCTACCCACAACGGGGACGCACGAGCTGTGCCATAAGGAGCTTTGCCTTAAAAACCTCTTCTCAGCTTAAATACTCATTATAAGCTTTTACTCTGTTTACTCTCTCTCTCTCTCTCTCTTTCTCTAAAAATGTTGAGCGGAGTACGGAAAAGCAAGTAAGTAATTCGATACATTCGGTGGCAACTTTTCTCGACAGCATTGCAAAAGCTACAAAACCGAAGCACATGCCGGCTCCCGTGTCAAAAGATAGTACTTTAGTTTGCTGATAATTTTCACCTGTGCCTTGCTGAAATACATGCTGCTTTATTCACCATGAGACTGAAACAGTTGTGGGAAATCGTTGGTAGAACACAACTATTGTTCACATTGCAAGCAGGTATTTCTTTTCTTTTAATTTCGTTGGAAGCGCCTCCTTTTCAGCACGCTTGTTTTCTAATGTAAACATGGCTTCCATCACGTAATGAGTCTGTGTGCTGCCGCAAACAAGGTGTTTAGTTCTCCACAAAAATATTCCCCATACTATAGCATACCTGCCAGGTCTTTCGGATTTGAACCTTTTCTTCCGTTTGTACAGCTGTCGTGGAAATCTCCCGGAAATTGAAATTTTTATGTGTGACCTGGCCGCATTGACAACAAAGCAGCTCAATCCACTCCAGGCTTTTTGCGAAGTTACCCCATTTTATTGTAGATGAATTTAAGAGGCGTTTATCTAAACATATAGTGAAATCTCAGTAATGCAAAACCGCGGCAGATACAAAAGTTCCCCAGATAAATTCCACCATATTCATTGGGCTTAATTTCGAATGTTCCTGCTGTCTAATTCTTTGTCCCTCTAATCTACATTTTGTTTTCTTGCCATTAATTCTATTTCCTAGGCTGTCAGTTCAGCAGTTGAAGTGATTCGATTTCTAATTACCTTGTTGAATATTTTTACGTTATCAAAAACAAACTCCTCAAAGGGTTAGCATCTGTTATGTATCCCGGTCCAAAGGTTTTAGAAGTCAAAGGGCTGTCAAGTTTTTTTTTTCACTTAATAAATCCTTAGTATTTAATGAGATTGGATTTGTAATCTACTGGTTTTCTTTGCGACATGCCATGTAGAGTTCTTTGAACCTAATTGATATATTCACATGGGATTTGTGCCTGCTCTTTACTTTTGTTTGTATTATTTCAAGTTATGCAAAAGCCACATAAAGTCGTTATTGTAGGGGCTGTGTTCTGCATCTTGCACATATTTTTTTAAACTGTGGTGCTTCATCTAACTCTCTTTGTGTCGAATGTATGCTGGAGAGATCTCTAAGGTTGAATTCTGTAGTTATAATATTAGACGAAAGAACACTAAGGTGCTCCATGCCCGATGAACACAACCGCAGTGAGAATCTGGGAATACTGAGGAGGAATGGCTTAGCATAAAGCTCATTACAGAGGAGGAATTGTTTAGCATGAAGCTTATTTAAAATAAAGTAGTCGTGAAGAAAGCAAATAGAGGTATGAAGAGAAAAAAACTTGAACCATCTCCCCGAAGGGAACCCTGATGGGATGCGAAGCAGCAGCGCTGCACATGGGTGGCGACACGCGTTTAACAGCGCTAAAGTGAGTGCTGAAATATTCGTTTGAAGCGAGGGCTGTTGAGGTCTTGTGGGTGACATGTGCAGATATATTTCAATGCGTAAGGTCGGGGCACGTCAGGTTTATTGCACATGAAGCGACGAATCGGCGGTGTAGCGAGTGGCGGTCGCAGCAGGTGTTGCGGGCGAATGGACGAAGTGGCAGCTGCTGGCACCGCAGTGAGCACGCGCCAGGCGAGGGAGAAAGTGACATCAGTGCGCACTGTGAAGGGAGCGTTACAGCTGTGGCATGACCTACTTGGCACAGTGCCAACAGCTGCGGCGCATCGGTACGAAGAGACAGCATTACACAAACTAGTCGGAGCTGCTTCGCATCTAAAACTGGCCACAAGTGGGAGTTGAACTTGCATCTTCTCATTAGTTCGTTTTGTAGAATGTTGCTCCACTCACACTAAAGTTGTTGTCAGTGCCATCACTGATTAGTTGTGGTCACTGTGCTTCATTGACACATGACAGCCATTCCGTAGAAGCGTGGTATTTTTTTTTTTTTTTTGAAGACTATCGTCTTTCTTGGGGACTTTCGACGCCGTCTATCTTTCTGTCTGTACATTTGTCTGTCTGTTTGCCCTAATGACATCCTAAACAGCACCCAATGATACATCAAACGGCCAAACCCATCTGCAGCGCCCACCAATATCGCTCAAGTTTCAGCGTTCATACTTGTGGAATTGTGAATTCAAAAGAAATTATTGTGCATATCTGAGGCACCATAACAACACGACGATATTTTCTATATGTGGCTTTACACTTGAAAAGGCACACATAATTATAAAGACTGTAGCGTTTATCACGAACGCGATACTCAAAAAGGCAAGTGTTTCCAACCCTTCGCTAAGACGACACGGTGGTGGCACCTGCCCGTCGCTTTGCGTTCTACACCTTATAGCCTCCGGGACAGGCACGCATCTTTCTCCGTGGGCGTGCATGCCTTTTTTCATTTTTGAAGGTAACTGCCAGATGGCGCTCGTGTCCAATGTGCCTCGATGTGTCATTCGCCTTCGCTGCACTGATCGAGACTCTCTAACGCAGCGCTTCCAGAATATAATTCACTGATTTACTCGCAAAGAACATCAAATAAACGTTTTGATCACTCTCTTCACAAGCAATACTATTGTCTTTCGACGACATTTGCAGTGAAACATGCAGATACGGGGCCAATTAATTTTTTTTTTCGTTACTTTTTATTCTCTTTTGAGGGGTGGTGCTGTGCTCGCTGAGCTACAAGTCAAGAATTGTTTCAGAATTCGGTGATTTTTCCCTTTGCTTAGTTGGGACCCCAAGCTATATGGACTGCTTGTATGTACATTACAGAAAAGAAATATATTGAGCTGACATTTATGTGTGGATGTATTGATTGCTAGGCAAGAGAATGCAGGCTGTGTAAATATTTGTCGAAGCCTTCTCGAGCTTCTTCTGACCAGCATGTGACAGTGCCTTTGCGACGGCACTCTTGAGATGTACTTATTTTCGTGAGAAAGACAAGCTCATTTGCATCTAGAAAGAAACAATAAAGAACTTCCACTTGAATCGTGTCGATTTCTGTCAGTTATGGAGGACATCATGCATTGGTTTCCTTACATTTGTTGCATTGATATGTTGCATTGATATGTTGCATTGATATGTTGCTGCCAAGTTAGCTTACCGTACCCTCTTTGTGGCTCTTTTGCAGGGCCGATTCAAGTGTTCTTGCCCGTTGTCACAGAAACAAAAAAAAATGCAGCAAAGAATTGGTTTCCTATGATTTGTCGCATTGAAATGTTGCTGTCAAGTTAGCTTACAATGCCCTCCTTGTGGATCTTTTGCAGGGCCAATTCAAGTGTTTTAGCACGCCGTCGCAGAAACCAAAAGAAGGCAGCAAACAAAAAGAAGGCTGCTGCTCGACGCGCATTGAACCGTTGCGATTCAACTGACACTTCCGGTGTAAGCAGCGGCAGTGAAGCCAGTCTCGAAGATGTCTCACAGAGCTGCCAGGTGCACCCCTCAGAGTAAACCTGGAGAGTAGGGGTTTAAAACATCGGTGGGAAGTGTTCTCACACTAAGTGTGGGCTAGCCATCTTTCAACATAGTGTTATACTCTCTCTTGCTCTGACTTTTAGTTTTTGAGCATTCTTCCAGAGATTTGATGCAACACCCGAGTGTTGACAAACCCGTGAGACTTTTGTTCATACAATTCAAGGGCAAAAAGAATGCTCCACTCTCATTCAGGTCTGCAGTAGTGCAGCTACTGCTTCAACCCAGTGCTTTATTGGCCTTTTGTGTGCCCTTACAGCATGATGCAACTGTCTTGCTTGGAGGTTAATAAAATTTTTCTTCATGGGTTGATGCTATAGAGCTGCATGTACCTTTACATTTTCATTCTTACTTGGATTGCCAGCTTAAGCAGTGGTTTACATTTGTAGAAAGTAATTCTTTTGTGTCGTTTGCTCGAGTATATTTGCTGGCATCAAAGAGGCATTTATATGAAGAACCAGCACTTTCTTCTTTATTTTCTTTAAGGGGATTCATTAGCAATTTCTATCATTTTGTATATAATTTCCTGCGCCTTTTGCAGGTGAAGAAAATCCTAAAATATTTTTTGTTTATAAGAAATCTTTATACACATTGCATTAAGAAATGTATTTCCCTCTGGTGCTTTAGGGCATTTCCATTTGTTTCTTTATGTTCTGTAGAATATTAGGATGTATTTACACATTGCATCTATACATCTGAAAATTTTTTCAAGCCATCATGTTTAGCACTTTCTTTTGCTCATTTTTGAGGCCATTTTGTTCTGCTTTTGCCTGTCCCTGTGATTTTTCTTTAGCGCACACTTTTTGGTGCATCAGTCCTGTTTTGCAAGTGGTGTTGAATATGTTTTTTTAGGATGTTGGAGGCTAGCTTTTGTTTTTTTATAACTCTGTATGGTCTTTTGTAAGCCTGAGGTACTAGGTAGGTAGGTAGGTGTTGAATTGTTGTCCATGTCAGTTCCCTGTGATACATTATACATAGTACAAATGTGGTGAGCTCTTTCTGCCTGATGGGGTCTTCCTATTCTACTGCAGCACAAGTGATGTTCCACTGCCTATTTGTTATAAACATTACACAAAGTTAGATACGTCAGTGTCTGCTTATAAAGCCAGTCATTGAGAGAATATTTTGTCAAAGCTGTTGCCATGATTGTTGAATGTGTGCATAGGTTTGCAACCTCCGACTTCAATAGTCAACTGTAGAATAAAACTAAACTTCTGTATGAGTGCTTCAGCTGTTTTGAAAGGATTGAAAAATGCTTTATTGCAGTGCAGTTGGTGGCTTTGAGAAATATATGTTTGTCTTCACTTAGTTGTCTGTGTGTTTAATCGCAGCCATAGCAAGAATGTGGCAAGTGCTAAGTGCTTCTCTTCATACTTTGCAGGTTATACTAGAAGGCTACAAAAGGTTCTGTCACTCCTTGCAACTGTCTAAAACAATAAATATAAACAATAGCAATAAGCAAGGCATATGCAAGCAGTACAACTCTGGAAAAGAATTAGTAACTCGAGTTTCTTTCTCATACCAGTGTATTGCATCATTCTTTGTCATTATGGAATACCAACTCTTCACATGCTGTATAGCGTAACATTAAGTTTTACACTTTTATGTTGCAAAATACGGGATGCAGTAGTTACATGCATAGGTTGGCGAACTCACTCACGAGTCGACTCGCTCAGACTCGGATCGAGCCGCGAGCGTGAGTGAGTGCAGATGAGTAATATTTTCGCGAGTAATACCCCTGTCACACGGGCACCTGCGAAGACCGTTTAACTCCCTCGTCCTTACGACAACGGAGATGCGGTCCGTGTCACACGGCCACCCCTCCCCAGACGAAGGTAAACGGAGCCGATAGTTATAGCGCGAGAACAAAACGCCGACACAGAGACAAGAAGGACACGAAAGACACGAGCGCTTGTGTCTGCTGGGGACGAGAATACCTCGTTTCGCTGCGAAGGGAGATCGTTGAACGTCCTTTGCGAAACGCTCTGTTTACTTGGAAGTGTGGCAGCTTGGGCTAGTTGGTCTCCCTTCGCAGCGAAACGATCTCCCTTCGCAGCGAAACGAGGTATTCTCGTCCCCAGCAGTCTAGAGGTCAGAGAAAAATTTCGAGCACTAAGTGGCCGCAGTAAAAGAATAATACATTTTGGAAATCTTAAACGTTCTTTCGTTGTAATACTCATTCACAACGCGTGTTTGTTTACATATATTTACGCCCGCCAGAGTTCACTTACTCTCAACACCGATGCTCTACACTCGGTGCCTCGCACGTGGTGCCTCGCGAGTCGGGCCGGCCGGCGCCATTAAAAAATATTTCGTCCATGCATGCGGTTGTGGTCGTCGCTGTGTCACTCATGGCTGAAGAACACAAAATGTGCGCTCACGAGGCAAGAAAGCACAAGAACTTTTGCAGGCAACAAACATTTAAAATCACAATGTGGCCAGCGTTACTAGCAGCATCGCTACATTTAGCATATTTGTTTTTTATTTGAAGATATATATATGGTTTGTTAGCCTCTTACCTTCTTAATAGTGTTTTCTTGTAAAAACCCCAGAACGAGGATTTACAGAAAAAATAATAGAGATGAAATTAGAATACTTTTTCGAAAATCAAACAGCGCCAGCTGAGCTCCCTCGCGCCAACTGTTACAACCTTTTCATTGCCATGTCACATAGAGTTTCTCAAAAATAACTAGAGGGCACTCTGGCGCTGCGATCGTGCAGCGACCATGGGTATTGCGGGCGGCGAATCGTACTTGCGCCTTCGTTTATTACTGGTTACGGTTTTGTTTTGAAAGAAAAAACAAACCTTTTTGAACTTGAGGACTTGATTCAAAATAGTAAGCTTAAAAGAATAAGGTTGTGAAGCGCAAACGGTGAACATTTGCTAATTTATGTTTTCGTGAAAACACAGCTTCAAGCCACTTGAACACACACGGGGCCAGAAGCAGGCCAGAAGTATAAAAATTAGACAAATGTGTGTACTACCCATCATTTCCATGCTCGCTGAAGCGCCGTGTGTTGCAACTCCCATAGGCACTAGCGCCAAAGTTCCCTCTAGTAAGTATTGTGGGAAACTCTATGCCGTGTGACACTCAAGGAGTGTCACACGGCATAGTGCACACGGCATGACACTCATAAAACTTGCTGGAGTGGAAGGGGCGCTGTGCGAGTGAAGCCAGCTGCCGCCATCTTGCCAGTGGCAAAAAGCGGGCTCAGCGCCATCGCAAGCTGCTGATTTCGTCCGTTCTTGTTTCACCTTGTCGACATGTAAAGACATATGGTTTACAATGGTTGCCTCTTGCGTCGTTCACAGATGTGCCAACAGGTTAAAAAAAGGTCGTGGCCTTACATTCCACCTGTACGTACACGAAAACGTCTTCGACATAGCCATTCCGCGCTCGTTAGTTACTAAATTGTGAATATCTCTGGCGCGATCTAAGCGTGCAAAACATAACAGTCCGGATTTATTTTACAGGTTTCCTTAAGATTCTTTTCAGTCGATAACTCTCGGTTCCACTGTTGCTTTTTTTTCTTTTGGGAATACTTTTCTGCATTCCACTTCAAGTATTTCATGAAAAACTTCAGAATATCTTCTTGAAGTTAGGGAACATTTTGACTTTCCGTTGTTTTTACCTCGCTTTGTTTTTACTGGAATGCTATGTACATGTTCTCTGGCAATGACCTTTTTAGTATTAGCAGGAACACTGATGCGTTGTACACGCTCTTCAAGCCTAAGTACTTCAGTCCACTTGTGTGCACTTGCACATTTTCTGACAACCTTCCTAAAGCTTCATAGTCGTTGCAGCTTGCTAATTTATTAAGAATAATTAGCTCTTTCATATGCATTTAAACAAGCACTTTGCCTTTTCCATATCACTGCTTGAGCAAATGCATAGCTTCCTCGTAGTCGTCGTATGAAAATTGCAATCCCTCCATGATAGCTGCCTCATTATTGCCCTGAGCAACATGATGCCAGACATTGAAATAGATGTTAGTGGCATCAATTCATTATTATGCCACTTAGATGCAACAAAATCCATTGGACTTGATATACTGTCCCCAGTAATTCTCAAAGAGTGTCGTGACATTATTGCTCCATATTTAGGTATCATTTATGAACTCTCCCTTGAAACTGGTCTTATTCCCCAAGATTGGAACACAGCTAAATCTGTAGTCAGAAAACTTAGAGAAAATTACAGACCCATCTCATTAACGTTGGTGTGTTGTAAAATATTTGAACACAATTTACATACTAATGTTTAATACTAATTGCTTGATTCAGACGCTTTCCTTACTGCCTCCCAGCACAATTTCCAAAAAGGTTATTTCTGTAACACACAACTAATAGAATTTCAGCATTTCGTATCCAAAGCCATTGATAACAATAGCCGTGTAGACACGGTTTTTATAGATTTCCAAAAAGCATTCGACACTGTGTCTCATAAGCTCTTGGACGTAAGGCTTGCTTCACTGGGCATAAATAAAAATGTTCAAACATAGATACGTAATTATTTGAATGGAAGAACCCAGTTCATTGTCTTAAATAACGTCAAATCTTCGTTCATAGCAGTAACTTCGGGCGTTCCCCAAGGGAGAGTTTTAGGACCGTTACTGTTCCTAATCTACATAAACAACATAGTTGAAAACATTGCATCACCTATAAAATTATTTGCTGATGACTGGGTCATATACAAAGAAATCACGACTGAATCTGATACTCTCATTTTGCAAACTGACCTAGATCACATAGCGGACTGGTGTAAAAAATGAAAAATGAACTTAAATATTAAAAAGTGTTGCAGCGTGAGCTTCTCAAGGAAAATATCCAAATCATATTATCAATATAACATCTATGGCGTACTTATTAACACACACTGCAATTATAAGTATCTCAGTGTTCATTTTACTGAATCGTTTACATGGAGCAAATACATTGACACGGTTATAGCGAAAGCTAGTAGGATGTTTTACTTTATTTGCAGGAATTCCAAACAGGCGACGCACGAAATAAAGAAAACTTTATATTTTTTGCAGGTCAATTCTATACTTGATTATACATATGTAGTATAGGACCCCCACCAAGGCTATCTTATAAATTAAAAAGGAAAACTTCAGAACCAAGTGACAAGGTTTGTTTCAAATAATTATAGCCCCTATGCAAGCATTTCACAAATGAAGGCCACTTTGGGAAGGGATCTGCTACGTGTACGTAGACAGAAACTACGGCTTAAAACTTTTGCACCAGATATACCACTCTAACACAGGAATCAATCACCACAGCTACCTTGTTCAACCCCCCTACACATCCACTCGCTGTGGCAATAGCAAAAAGATATCTACCTTCAAATGCAGGTCACACACTTTTTTCTACTCATTCTTTCTAAAAACAATAAGAGAGTGGAACAGCTTAACTGACGACTTAGTTAATATAACAAATAATTTATTTTTTTCTTAGCTTTGAAATTGCGATGGTGGTATTTTGTATGTGTTTATGTATTGCTACGAATTCTTTCGGTCTGATTGTTTTTGTTAACCCCCTATGCAATGCCTATATGGCGATGTAGGTACTCTGTAAATAAATAAATCCTGGTTAGTTATGACGTCAGGTACGTAAACTTTTGGTTCTTGTTGGCTCAGATTGACGCCAAAATCTCTGCCACTTCAACTTGTTGCCATTGCCCCGCCGCGGTGGTCTAGTGGCTAAGGTACTTGGCTGCTGACCTGGAGGTCGCGAGATTGAATCCCGGCAGTGGCGGCTGCATTTTCGATGCAGGTGAAAACGCTATAGGACCATGTGCTCATATTTGGGTGCACGTTGAAAAAACCCAGGTGGTCGAAATTTCCGGAGCCCTCCACTACGGCATCTCTCATAATCATATGGTGGTTTTGGGACTTTGAACCCCACATATCAATCAACTTGTGCCACCAAACTTGCCTGCGGCCCTTGCCAGCTTCATGATTAGCACTTGATTGCTCCCTCACTGTCTTGCGCTATTCTTGTCGGCCAAGGAATACGTTGATGATGTGTCAAGCACTACTTTTCGTTTATACTCGGTGATTTTCACAAACACTGATTTTGCTGTTTCCGGCTTCAGAAACTGCCCCATCTATTGGACAACTTTTTTTCGTTAACATGTCCGTAATGGCTCTGATCTGGCTGTCTAGCAGTAATTAATATTTCTGTACGATCTTGATTCTCCTGAACCTTCCTTTCTGCTTTTCTCAATAGGTTCATCATTTAAATCCTCAGTGTTTTCTATTCTTCTAAATCACCTTCGAAAGCGGAAAAACAGACGACAACTCGCCT